CATTGTTCGACCTTCCATTCCCTTGTTAGCACGATTCTTATCGCCTACAAGGCAGAAACAAAAAACTTTATCATTTACCATCACTTCCGGCTCGATATACTGTATCACTTAGAAGGATATCACTGAATGTCAAGCAATTTCAGAAATTAGAGGGAATTAGATGAATTTTCTGGAAGAAAAGGCAAGGAAAATCATAACTGCCCAATATTATCACCCAATCCTGGACCTTAAAGTTTTGGTCTTCCCTTTAAATAGAAAAAAAATTCACTAATTTAAATCATCGCATTGTTTGCATATCTATTTTCTTTAGAAGATTCTGACATATTCTAAGTTTCCTATATATTGTCAATTGTTAATGCTGTTGAGATTGTTAAGAGGCAGAACGGATACAGTAAAGATGATTTGTAAGTTGTACCGAGTACAGTTTTTTTAAACTTACAGAGTTTTGAAATGCATAAAGGTTGGGTTCTGGAGTTGCTAATACTGCGAAACACCTTGAGGGCAGTTATTTTTGACTAGATGAAACAGTACAATAAGCAGTCGTGCAACACAGTTGGAAGATGGAGAGGGGTGTTTTGAAAACCTATGCAAAAGTGATTAATTAGCAAGAATTAGGGATTGTTAGAAATGTGGAACACCTCGTGTTTTACCATCTATTCACACAATTGCACCCCCGTAAACATCTGAATTTTCAATGCTCTCCTCTTCTTAAAGCTACACATAAAGTAAGCATTGTTGCTCTCCTCCCTTTACCCTTTAAAACAGACCCTTGTTTAATCGGCCATTCATCTAAAGCTCCGACCAAAACAATGAATACATCACTTGTTCCCCATTTCTCCCACCATTTTTAATCATTACCCACATACATACATCCAGTCTTCGATTTCATATTTTAATAGAATTTCTGTTAGCGTTTCAGGTTTATTTGTATGGTAATATAACTCTGAAGGTTAAGAATTATTTCAGCTTCCAAGGGCATATATGAATTAATTTACTCTTTGCGCACTTTTTTGAATCATTCAGGTTGACAGATGCTTAAGATACTTGTGGCTGCTTACTAAATCTACAAAACACAGGTATTTTAATTTCCTTTTTACGTCTATTCTGTATTTAATGTTAAATTTAACTGGAATTAGAAGGAGAAAATATTTGAAATATTATTTATACTTGTATTCCCATCACTTTTAATCTTATAAGTTTTTGAAAACATATGCTGGTCGAGACACTGCAGTCATGCTGAATTAGCTGTGCAATTAAGAGCTAATTTTCAGTTTTCGAGAGGTTATACAACAAAGTCTCCCAACTTTAGAAATACGTAGCAGTAGCCAAATGGCTGGACCAAGAGGCCTTTATAAGGTAGTTTTTCCCATTCGAGCCTATTCAAAAATTTAGGAAATTGAAGATTGTTTTTGAATTAAAAGTAGATCATAATTTTTACCAGTGGTTGAAAATTTCCTCAATACATCTGTTAATTTGAGAAATTTAGGGTTATATCATGTCACTTTAATCTTAAATGTGAAAATTTATACTTTCCACACAATTATTGAATAATAAATTCGTTCTTTTATGAAATTTATTTTTTTCTCGTACCATCCTTAGCGAAATAGCTGCGATTTATTTTTTCTTAGTTGAGTACGTTTTACTTTTTTTTTCCACTTATCAAGGTTTGCCATTTTCTCCAATTTTTTAATCAAGAATTGACGGAGTTGATAAGACAATTGAACTTAGAGAAATAAGAATGCTGTCATTGGTTCGCGTTAGAGGCTTTTTAACCTGAAGTAATATCAAGTATTGTCAGTGCACAGCTACATGAATTGAAAAAAGTTTGCGGCAGACTTCTGCTAATCAAAACGTAGTGTTTTTTTTATTTTGCTTAATGATTCCGATTATAAATTGCGCATGCTTTGACATGAACCAATTGTGCTAGGTTTTCTTTGTTGGCATAAAGCGAACTGTTATAGCGAATCAGGATATTTTGTGCACTCAAAAGAAGTTCAACTTTTCAATGGTAAGTAATCGTTATTGTAGATGTGTCCTTTAATGGAGAAGGGAGATTTCTCAGTAGTTAATACGAACAGCATAAAATATAAATTGATATAGCTAAAATAAAATAAGGATAGAATATATTTCCATATCGAAACATCGGTACCGCTGTCAAAAGAGTTTTTGCATGGAAACAGTGAACACGATTAACGTGGTAATGGATAGCACCGCTTTATTCTATTCAACTGCTTATTCCACTCCAATACAGAGACGGTTTTGATAGTGATACAAATACAGATTATTTACACATGCATGATGCGGTCCATATTGCATTTAGTAAAGATAGCCATCATACAAACGGGAACTTGCTTAAATTACGCTTTGTTTGATTCTAACCTTTTATAATTCAGGTTGTTTACAAAAATACCGAGTGAGATGAGGATTTTCTCCCTATGATGCTACTAATGTTTGGTTTCATGCAAACATCGCTTGTGCTGTAAAATAAGCACAGAATTATGCAAATGTTTGATCCATAAATTTTTTAGTTTTCAGTGTCTTTTTGGTATATGTGAGAATTCACTTCTAAATAACAGGAATAAGGAATAAGTAATGATTGCTTGGTTATCCATAAAGTTTTTTTTTTTTTTTTTTTTTTTGATGGTATAGGAGTATTGGAATAGTTAGGTATTTGGATATTCATTATATTTGTGGAAGGAAATGAACAATAGTCGATGGCGCTGATCATTTTGCTTTTTATGTAACGTCCAGAATTTGTTTCGTCCTAAAATATGCATTTTGAACAATATTAATAACTTCAGAAGCCCTTTTTATACATTTCAGAACTTCACTGGTTTCAAAAAACTGATTATAATCCGGCACAAATGATAAGTCATCTTTTAATTCAAACATTCCTTATTCCGACTTTACAGAAAAATAAGTATGATTTCATTTCATACACACATCACAGAAGAGAAGAGATAAGACCTTTTTAGTTGAAGGTAATTGATATAGCCTAGGGTATATCGAACCATTCTAGGCTATTGTTATCTATAGCTGCATATAGACGGTCAGTTGATATTCGAAAAGTTGCCTCAAATTGTCGTAGTTATGTTCAGTTCTCTTCCTTTACTTCCCACTTATTAATGCAAAGAGCGTAGAGAACTGAAAAGGAAAAGACGAGTTCAAATATGCATTATGATAACGTTTCATTAATGAACACTCAAAATCTGAATAATGTGTTGCTAGATATTCTTCAGTTCTGTGATAACTCCAACTTACACTCAATAATTTCTATACTGTTGTTGTTTCGAATCGATTTCTGTAATTCCTTTTTTCTTTTTTAGTGTATTGCCATTTTTTAGTTTTCCTTGCAAACTTCTGTGCTTGCGTTGCACTTCATTTCAGCTCTTTAACAGAATATTTAAAGTTATTTATTTTCGCTTATTAGATTTGCTTTTCAAAGAATTTTAAAATTTGCCGATCTAGGGGTACAAAATCAGATTTTGCATGAGACCTGGCTCTCGTTTTCATTCTTTAGTAGTTTAGGGATTGGTTCCTCCGGGATTGAATAGTAATGAATCATGCAATTTTAAAAGCATGCGAAGTTAGAATTTGTTATTGGTTTTTTAACAAATATAAATTATAAAAGTTGGCTTAATTTTGTCGCTAGTTGCCATAAATGATTCATTTATTAAAATTATCGCGTGACATCAAGATTGTTGATTGTGCAGTCAGGGAGAATATGTGAAAGTGAAAGGAGAACGAAAGAAGGTAATTTCCAGTAAAGACGTAAACTGCTGAGCGCCGCTCTACACGTCTGTATGAACTTTGGAAATCGGAGACAGGGTGGTTATGTTATAAGCATGGAATAGGTTGTAATGATAATACGTTTCCCGAGAGAGGAATAGCTGATGAAGTTATAAATAAAATGGATGACTACTTATGCAGGTGTACGGTGTTTCCCCGGTATCTTTTTAGATGAATCCATCGCGTGTCACCTCAACATCCGGTAACAAGTGCTCAATTGCCATTAGCTTAATGCTTTTTCCTTGTTCAGTCTTATCTTCTCATCTTCAACCAATTTCATCTATACTTTATCCCTCTAACTTCCTTTTTTTTGTTTTTTTGTTTAGAGAAGGCCTTCGACTTGGTTAACATCCATTTATCACACATCGGTTGATCTAGTTAGTCAGTTTAGCTTCCAGCTCCGCTCGTAATTTCCCTGGATCAGCAAGCAATTATTGGCTATGAACTTGATTTATATAAACTTTTTTTGTCCTGCAGGAAAAACTTTCCTATCTTTCAGTTCTTTATGACCGTCACTCGTTTTTTTTTCTTTTTTTTTTTCTTCAGTCGTCATTACTATTTTCCTAGCACATTTTGATTCCGTTCTCTTAGTCACTTGTAATCTTGTCCAGCGTGTAATCTGTCTTTTGTTGAAGGTGTTACTTTTCTCTTTTTAGTTTTTTTTTTTTTCCCCTCGGGTGAAAATTGCGATTATTCACAACCTTACATTACTGTATCAGTTGTGTAGCGAACTTCTGGATAACCGTTACTTCCTGAATCTTTTCCTCTGATACAAGTTTAGTTTACAAAAATAAATGAAAAAATGAATTATAGATTGTTTATATTTAATTCATTCTATACCATTAATTCATGCTTTTCATTATGTCGCTTCTTTTCGAACCTTTCCTTCCTACAGAATTTGAAATTATTCGAGTGTTTACATATATAATATTTCTGTTGCTGTTATCGCTATGTGAAAAAGTTCTTGTTCTGAATGATATAATGAGTTTAAAATTTGAGTTCAAGTTCCAGTGCTACAGTACTACATAACTTAGTAGCGTCGCTTTCTTATCATTAAATTTATGTAAATGTTTATTAAAAGCGTTACTGCCAAACATCTTCAGATTTGTAATGTGTATAATAAATAGGAAGTTTCAATTTTTCCAAATGTGAAGAGTTCGCCTCAGAAAAATAAGGACTTCAATTTTTTATTTTAAAAACTTTGTTGCAAGATGTCTGGCCGTCGTAAGGCGATGCCAACGAGACTTTTGGAGACTGTAGAAGCGTTTTATCCAGTAGCAACTGTAGAATCGATTCCATGCACTTCATCAGCTAATGGTGTTCAGACAGTTAAGGGTACTCTTCTGATAGCAGAACCAACTAAACCAATGAACATATCCACAGAGGAGCTTATTTTGGACGATATTGTTAAGGTAATCGTGCATTCCAAACTCATTTTGAATTTTAAGTGCCAGGTTTTGTAAATTTTCAGGTCGAGATAAGAGAAGTAATTTGTCAAACTTTCAGCAAGAAGAAATCACTAAGCATCCTACTATGAGAGAATTCACCTCTGCTTCATCACCTCGAGGGCAAGTTGATTCGTTGAAGAGCGATACATCAAGCATTTCTGAGCACACCAGGTTTGTATTGCTGATCATTATGTCGGTCCAGTATTCTCACTAATTTAATCTTCAAGTAATAAGATGTGTTTATTATAATCAAATTGTTTTGTTTCTCTGTCACATTTGCTTTTCCAAACAAATTCTCAAGCTTATGTTAATGTAGACAGACGAACAGACGATCTCGACATCCGGTCTATTAATTAATTAAGAAATCAGTGTTAACAGCATTTCCTAATCGATTATGAACATTAAGGTTCCTTGACATGTTGAATTTCTTTGATATAAAATTTTGTGAGCAGTATTTGTTTTATAAGTCAAAATAAATTATTCTCATTGTAAAAGTGGTAGTTTGGAGTTTTAGATTCAGTAAGTTTACTTCATTCCCAAACTCACCCACATCATGCCTTTTCTTATGAGCAGTGAGAAAAGTTCGATTCGAAAGATTTAGTATGCTGGATGCCCTAGATTATATTTCAGCATTAGTATTTAAGAATAAAAAGGGACAAAGGTTTCTGTTGTTTCATGTTTCACAATGAGACTTCATTTGTATGGTTTAATAATTAAAATCAGGCAAATTTGCATTTCAAAGCCTGGAATGTGGATGGTGATATGTGTTACTTTGGCATCATTTTTTCTGATTTAACGCATATTAAAACACCAAATTCACTCACTCAGTCATTTACTGACTGCTTGAGATTATTAGTTTTATTCAGGGAATTTACAGAGATCATTATTTGAGTTAGAAGTCAGCAAATTTACTGTTGTTAGCTTACAGAATCTTGTATATTTATTTCTTCAATATTTCTAACACTATCCAGTGATTGATTACGACTCTCTACAGGCGACAGGACTTGAAACTTTGCAAATAGTTGCGTGCATGTCATGTCTTCTTCTGATCATACCGTTTGGCGATCCTTAAATGATGGGGAATTTTGATTGCAGTAAATTTCCAAGTTACATCTTTTTGAAGATATGCAATTTTTTCGGTATATTTGTTCCTGCCGTTATCTCACTAATGTGTATAATAGTTATTTAAAATTTTGCATTGAGGATATTTCTCATTCATGCCTTCTTGGAAAAATGTAACATTTGCTTTTGATCTGATCTTTTGGAAAGATGCGCCAATGACGAGGGAAGGTCCAGTGATATATGAAAGGAACGTAGTGGCGATTGATGTTCTATTATGCGGAATTCTTATCTAGTTTATTAGATGTCGCTGATGCTGAGATGATGCAGTTTTCCTCATTTAAATAGAAATTTTATTCCTCACGCAACTTAGAAGTTTACATACTGAAATTGGTTAGGAAAGATGAAGGAGGTAGTTCCATTATCGGCTTAATCAATGAGCCATAAATGTTTTAAATACTTTTTTTTGTTTTGTTTTTAAGAACATTACTTTTTTGTTAGCACTGGAGTAGGTTTCGTTTTCACACCTGATTTCGTCAAGTTTTTAAAATCATAGTACCGCTCGATAGTATTTGCTGAGTTGTCATAAAATATATCACCGATAACGACATACCACACGATATGAGATTAATGAAATCCTAGGTTTTGTTACTGTGATTAGCTAGTATTTATTCTACTACCTGAATTTTGTATTTTTTATTGTGACACGAGATTATTCTAAGAGTCGTCTTTATTGATAATAGTGAATGGCAAATAATGCGACCGTTTGTCATTGGTGGTCAGTCCGAGTTTTATCATTTCTAAGCTTCGACAAAAGAAAACCAATTATGGCTGGAATTAAGACTAAACTTGCTAATGACTTGCTTTTTATTGTGTGATGCGTGATTTTTGATATCATTTTGAACTTTCTTTGTGTGGGATCCTTCTCCACTTAACCGTTATAATAAAGGTAATTTAAACTTTAGAGTGAGCTTTTTCGTTATATTAAAATTTAAGCAACTTAATGGCAACGCTAACTGCTCAATACCTCTAGTCACAGAAACATTTTGACTAGGCGGTACGATAGTAAAGTGTGCAGCTGCATTACCCAGGAGTATGAAGGCAGAGCAGGAGTAAAAAGGATGAAAAAGAAACAAGTAAACCCACTCCAGTGTTGATTTTTTTTTTTTTCTATTTCATTAAATCACTTAAACGAATTAAAAAATAACGATATAACATTCATCTATATGGGATCGTAACATGACGTCAATCTGATCACTTCATTTTCTTTTTTATTGCAATCTTCATTCAATCCTTTGGTCTTTGGTTTCATTTGAAGTTTAGGCAAACAGTACAACAAGCATGCTTTATGCAGTTACTATGCATTACATTTGGATGATACTCAGTTTTCAATAATCTTCAGGAGTTAAGGAGTGGTAATACTGGAAATTTTTTCCAGAGAACACATTCTTTCAGCAGGAATATTTTCACTCCTTATTTCTTATCATCAGGTCACTGTTTTGCAGCACGTCAGGTTCAAACGGAGTGACGGATATCCCGGACATCTTAGCACAAACGGAACACGGATGTCGTGTACTAATTGATGGTCACGCATTGCGTGAGGTTCTTAACAGTATCGATACGTACGATGGCAAACTCGATCTCGTACAAGATCTTATCCGACAGGTCGGAATCTTTTCATCTAAAATTTATTGTTTGGTAGCTATTTGCTTAATGAAAGTAACGACTCTCCTGGAAGGCGATTAATGATAACCATCAAGTCATTCTGTTCAGTCGTTCTGTTGATCAGATCTGACTAATAAGAAATTAGTTGTCCCAAAACCACCATTCCTAGATTTTTACTGCATCACATCTTTTTGTAAAGAAGTAAGAGAAAATAGATTGAATGGTGAGAACCTTGTTCCAAAAAAAAGTTTCTTTTGTTTTGGAATGATTGGATGAATTGTATTTTTTTTTACAGCCTTTTGCAAATTTTGCAACGTTTTGTAGCAAAAAAAATTTCTGTTGTCTTGCAACAAAATGGTAATCAATTTATATTAAAAATTAAAAAAAGGCAATACCAAAATGGCTCCTTTTGTACTGATATAAAAAAATGCATTTTGATGGTTATGGTTGTCTGGGCAGGCTACATTAGCAAACCAAACAACATAGTTTTCTATTACTTTTGTTTAAATATCTCATGCTAGAAAGTCGTAACAACATCACAATTCTAGCTCTTTTCTTGACCTTGAATACTATTCGTTGCCAATTATTCATTTGGAAAAGCGGAAAAAAGTTTAGGAATATTGTTACACTCATTTTAGCATTTACACAGTTTATTGGATGACACGTTTTGTTACTGCACTGACCTATTTCCAGTGATTATAAGTAAAAAGAGTCACGAACTATAAAGGAGACTTAAGAGCTTAGAATGGGAAAAAATTAGGAGAGACCAGAATATCATTATTGTTATTAATGTGTAGTTTGAAGTCCGATGCTTTCGGACAGGTTTTTGAGATGTCAGTGCGTGGTTCCTTACCTGAACTAGAACTTGGAGATGACGAAAGTTTTATTATCCATCTATCCAATAAATTGTCATTGTCGTTCATACTATATAATTGAGTTTTAATAACATGAGCTAGTGGAAGGACAGTTTAGTTTCATTGAAAATTAGAAACTGGAGTCATTTATTACATGAATTTCACTACTCGGCAAGTTTTATTTTTGAAATTTTAGTTGAAAGCTGTTAAAGAACGTTTAAGTTGTGGTGAAATACATATCAGTAAAGAAGATATCGAGGACACGAGTCTCAAGGATACAGATGAATTGGTTACGGAAGTTAAGGAACAAAACTGCTTTCAGGTAGTATTTCTTATTTTCTGAAGCGTTTTTGGGGATGCTTTCGTAGGTTCGTTTTTTGGACTATCTGTGATCATCCTTGCTGGTTACTCGTGAGTTGTAAGATAACGCTTCAGACGCATCACCTTTTTTTTTTTTTTTTTTGAAATTTGCATAAGTAAATTAATGGAGCACAGTAGATTTAAATCTATGACACACTACACACACATACGATAACACGACACGTACGTGAATGACAAAAAGGACGTATGGCAGTGGTGGGGCATTTAGCATTTGCTTGGATGGTTGTCACTGGAAATGGTTGTAAAGCGCTTCCAGAAAGATTTAATGTAGGTCAAGCCGGACAGAGGAAAGGAAAAGTCCAAGCTGAAGAACTTAATTCTTCTGCTGGTACCTGTAACCTCACTTGACATCCTATTGGTGGACACCGACTGCTATTAAATTACTTTTTACCTGTAACATATGTGTACTTGATGAATTTACACGCATTCGACCGCTTCAGTTCTCTCCTGAATCACTTTTTTTACTTTCGTTGTTGGTGTCCTACATTCAGGCATATTTTCCTCACAGATTTAAATAATTTTGGACGAGAAAGGTTGCTATTATCATATAAATAAAGTATCTGAATTAAGGAATTTATGTCAATCATAAATGAAAGATAAAATTCCCCGAGGATTCCGAAATATTCCTGAAAGGAATGAACGATCTGTATGAAACAGTGGAAACAGCAATTTATAATGAATCATTACATAACTGTTTTCGGATAGAAATTTTGATGAAATTAATAGTAACTTTTGCACAAGTTGATATGGCTAAGTTAGCTTACTTTTCATTCTATTGTTTGCAGAAAATGTCGACTGGGAATTTAGATGAATTGATGCTTAGACAACAATACCTTATCCAACAGCAACAAAATCAGCAACGCTTGCTTGCAATGGCATCCGCTCTTCATGTTGCACAACATTCCAGTGCTGTACGACTGAGTTGCATGCTTCCTTCTGGTACCATTTTTTATTCAAAGCTTAAAAAAGCTTTCTACATTGATGTTATCAAAAATTTGTTTATCTTTGTTAGCTTAACAATGGTCTACGGTACTATAGTATGGGAAGTGATTATAGTGAGTTGCAAAAACCATAACGGTAAAAAAAATTAGCAAAAAAAAAAAAAAGAAAAATAGTTTGATAAACCACAGACTAGGCACAATTGAAGTTTAAGATTTTCGGATTGTTGCGATGCTTCATTAAAATTTGTCGCTTTAAAATTATTTCAGTTCGGAATTTCAGTCACAAATTTACACGCAATAATTTATTTAATATTGCGGTTTCAATAAACTCACTTTATGAAAGTGCGCTAAGTGCAGAAAGCTATCCAGATTGATCAGTCTAATTTGAATAATATCGTTCAGCAACAACATATGGGCAATTTCTGAATGGAACGGCACTTGGAAACGATTGTGGTGTTCTAACGGCGACAACAATGCTTTCCCAAAGTGTCAGTAATCGAATGAATAATGTAAGCAACCATTTGGGAACAACAGGGAATGATTGTGCTGATCGGAATGATTGTGAAACGCCGCTGAATTTGAGCAAAGTTAAGTTGAAAAGGTTTGCATATTCCAATAGCATTATTTATCCATAGATCTCCAAGTTTAAAGATGAAAGTCCACGCCTAATTCATGTTTGTAAAGTCCAAGTGATCGAGTTTTGAATGTGACGTGCTAAAAACATAATTATTTCATTGTGGCCAGAAGTTTAAAACGATGAAATAGTTATGTTCTTAGCCTTTAATATCAGAACGAAGGAACGAAAGTGGAGAAATTCGTCAAATATTTAGCTATAGGTCGTTTATCATTTTGTCGTAAAGTTTTTATCTTTTTGACCTCATTCTCATTTAGGTGAAAGGAAAAACTTTTTGTCTAATTACATGTTTAGCGAGAGGTTCAGTGGAATATAAAATGTGTGTCGAACTTCGAAACGAAATCTCATAATATAATCAGTCGTTTAGAGTTTAGATTTAGCGTTTAGATAATGATCGATGCCAAAAAATTGGGACTGAAATTTCCGGGAATGCCTTTATTATTATTAATTATCCTGTGAGTTGCATCGGCTAGAATATTATGGCGCTTTTTGATAGGTTCATCATTATTGTAATTTGATTCTTTTATTTATGAAAACTAAATATTATATACTTTGGAGCTATATAACCCCATATTTTTTTAATATTATTCCATATATTTCAAATGAATTATGACATATTTTTTCAGTCCCACAGATCATTCCAAAGCGCGTAAAGTAGCACCATTTAGCAGTAACACCAATTCAAAAAAGCCAAGTTCACCACCTGAGCAGCAGATTCTTAATCGGCTGCCTTGCTCTTCGATCTCACATTCCTTTGCCTCTGAAAGTAAGTGAATTTTCAACAGTGAATTGGAATGTAGAGTGATTTATATATAGTCTGAGTTGCTGATATGTTGCATTACCTTAGCATCAAATCAATTTGCTGTAACTGAAGCAATGAAGTAATTTTGTGAATTGATATTTTAGATGTTTCTTGAAAATTAAAAAGAGATTAAAGAAAAATTAAAATCAGTCAATTTTACATTAAAATCAGCTGTTGAGAAGTATTTACTTTTTTCATCTTTTAGCGTCAGCTTTCTCTAGTCATTCACCAGGTTCATCGGGCGAAAGCACACCTGGAGGCGTAGTGACGTCAGAGAGTATTCCAGCTCGAATTCCTGCCAAATCACCGAATCATATTAAGCGCCCGATGAATGCCTTCATGGTCTGGGCACGTGATGAGCGGAGAAAAATCTTGAAGGCTTGCCCAGATATGCACAACAGTAATATTTCGAAAATCCTTGGTTAGGTTTGGAATTTTTAATCGCAGTAATGAGAAATTTAAGTATATTGTAATAGTTCCTTTTTTGTGCCGGTTAAATATATTTGATTTTGGAAATGCAGGGTCGAGATGGAAAGCAATGTCTAATATAGAGAAGCAGCCATATTACGAAGAACAATCCCGGTTGAGCAAGTTGCATATGGAACAACATCCGGATTATCGTTATAGGTATCATTATTTTACTGGAAAAATTTTTAACTATTCGATTAGATCTTTATGGAAAGGTTCAAAACGTAAACAATTTTACAAGGTATCATATTAGATTTTAGTTAATATCAAAAAAAGAAATGGAATTCTGGGGCCCGGGAAATACATTTTTTGGATTTATACTGATTTGCATCATTTTTAGGCCTAGGCCAAAACGAACATGTGTGGTCGATGGTAGGAAAGTGCGTATTAATGAATACAAGAATTTAATGAGGAGCAAAACGGTGACAAATCTACCTAGCACCACTGGCTGCACATCTGGTACTAGTGAATGGAGTAGTGATGTTGATCAGTGTGGGACGGCTGTGAGTCCTATATCTGGCTCCAGTCAATCCTTAACAGTTAATAGTAATCCATTAACTTTAACAACATCAACAGCAGTAATACTTCCCGAAAACAATAGTGGAACTACCACACGTCCCCGATCATTCTCATCTGTCGATTTTGCCAGTCTCAGTGGCGCCACAGTATTTACTGATCTGGCCCATCATCATCATTGCCATATGTTGCAAACTGCTGAATAGCGCTGTGTCATCATGTCCATCTGTATCTGGCACTGTTTCATTTTCAAGTCTATAACTGATTTCAGTTCACTTACTGATCCACCACACTATTTGTTTTTCTCGAAGATGTTTGAAGTTTGTAAGTATGAGTTTTTATTCAACTTCTCGTTAAGGGGGTAGGATTGTGAAATAGTTTAAAAGTTGGTCGAAAATAAGCGAACAATACAACCTTTAATGCTTGAAGAATTTCTCGTAGGATTCTAACCCTGAGAATATGGTAAGTTTGTTTTAATAGGAAGAGATTTGTGGTAAGTGAATGTTTATTGACGCTTCCAATGAATTAACAGTCAGGCAGATAATACGTATCAAATACTGAATACAAGAAGAGTGAGGTTTGATAAGAAGTGTAATTTGTTAATTATTGTACTGTACATAAATTGTGTGTTATTCTATTCCAAAACAATCGCCACTAAAGTTCCCGTTTGTCATGTGTTTCAAGTGTACGGCGATGGAGAAGCCCTCGTTTGAAGCAAAATGTTTTTCTTCTAACTTCATTATTTCTATCAATATCATGGTTTTTATGTGTCACTTGGCTCTACACTCCATATCATATAAGCATTTCATCATTTCTCTCTTCGTTGTGATCATCATTTTCGGTTTTCCCTTAGATTTTGATGTCTCATACTGGCGTGTGCTCCGTTTTTGTTTTATTCTCATATTAACCAACGAAATTTTTGTTAGAAATTGACTTAGACATTCGTCATATTTTCACCTAGTCTTTCTAACTGTATATTGTAATTAAAAATGAAGTATAATTTGTAGTTCTGGTCATCTTCACTCCGTCCTTGTACTTTTTCCCTTGTAGGGAATTTGGGTCGCATATGTTTAATTATATCAGGAAAAGATTTTGGCGAATGAATTAACTCTACGTTAGCATCATTTTAGGCAGTAACGGTTAAGAATTAAAATTCCTAGCTTCTGCGCTTATTACATCCAATATGTTATAAATGACAGCGAGAACAATGCAACTTTTAGCATGTGGGTCGGATAAATTTATGGTACGGAACACAAGATAGTCCATGAATTCACAATATTCGAAGTGTTAACACATAACTGTCCAATGTAATAATTGTGTTTACTAGTGCTTCAAGATTTTAAAATATAGAAACTCTTTAGCACATATGTTGTGAAACATCCAATGACAACATCAGTAGGGAAAGTTAAGATGCTTGTCAATCCGTTGAATTTTAAGTGGAATCAAGCTAATTCAAAGAAATGGACTGAAAAATGTTCGTCGTGTAAGGAGAATTTGATTTTTTATACTGATTCTTTCAAATAAGTTTCCAGTTAAATCTGCGTCACTAGAAATTTGTAAAATCACTTCAGGTAATAAAAATCCCCTAGATAAATAATTTGTATGGTATGTAACCTGTCACAAAAAAAAAAAAAGAAAACAAATCTCGAAATTCAGAATGCCGACTTGGAGCACAAGTAGACAATTTAAAAATGTCTGGTTTTATGGAGTACTATTGATACGACGATTATTATTATTATAGGTAAATAATAAAGTTTCTGCAGTACTTTCATCATCTTCATATTAAATAATGTGTTTGGCTATGTATATTTCAAACTCAATATTGCTTATGTATATCATTCAACTTTTCTTTAATTCCGGAGCTCATTTCCATTTACATTTAGAAAAAGCACTGATAACATCTAAATGTTGTGTCAAATATGACGATTGGAAAAAAGTATTGGTTTTCAAGTTCAAGTTAAGGCTTGGCTATCAACGAGATCTGGAAACGATTTGGAACTGAACAATAGAGGCATTAGATGAAACTTGAAATGGAACGTGGTTTTACCTAAAAAAGTTTTAAGAGATCAGCTGCTTAGCACCAAATATCACTTCACTGTAACATAAAAGCAGAAGCAGTGCATATCACGAAACGTAGTATTGATGGAAGCACGTGGTAATATGATGCTGATGCAGATAGCGATCCCTCTCTAGCATTTAACAAATTATGCTGTTGTAACCAGATATCATACTGATATGGTTCTTCCACAAAATCTGCTATATCTTTCGGTAAATCATCGACAACATGGATCTTCCAGCCCATATTGTATGTAGAATAACTCTGTAACAGTTCTTCCCTTGAATATTTAAAACCAATGAGTTTTAACATGCGATAGAAAGACTTCACAAAAAAGTTGAAGATAAATTGAATGAATGTATTCTTAATTTACCTGATAATAGAGAGTATCGGGTGTTTCAGCTGTTGGAGTGAAATGAAAAGTTGCAGTTTTGGATGTTTCAGTACATTTTAATTTAAGTGAATGCCGATACTCAGTGAAACTATTGAATTTATCAGCATCCTCATCATCTCCACCATCGTGAGACCACAAACACAGGTGACCAGCAGTCTCATTTGGGTTGTGTCCAGCCACTATTTTTACTTGCTGCATGCAATACAAATAACTATTTTCAAGATAGATGAAAATTAGGTGGATTATAAAATTTGAATTCAAAAACAAATTCAAACACAAAAAAAAAAATAAAAATGAAGACTCGCTTAATTTTTCCGTAAACTAAGGAATGTTCTCGTACTTTTCGTTCATCATTGGATAATTTAGCGTATCCACCAAATGGATCATCTGATATATACAGTGGATTGTAGAAATCGCTTGTGGATTTATCATTACCACCTTCGACACTAAAAACGTCCATCATCACCAGTGCTGGCATGAAAGACCATCGTTAATTTAAAAACGGAACATGTGGAAAAGTTGGATTCAAAACAATTCATATCGTATTTGATACAACTTTTTCTTCTTACGGCAATTACCTCCCGTTCGACCGACATATTTAAACTATTTCCCACCGAAGATATCACATGCAGAAAGAACGAAATCTTTTTAAAAGATCCTTAAATACCTTCTCATATTTATAGTCAAAAGACCTGCAAAATTCTTCAAAATTTACTTGAATGTATATGTGACGCCACGTTTCAAATAAATATCAGCCAAATAGCCATTCACATACCACACATACTTTGCTGGTCTAGCGTGTGCCATAAACTGTAACAGAGATTGAAGCCGGTTCTTCTTTAAAATCTTATCCATAATATCAAAATTTCAGTAATTGTTTAATCGAACATTATACAATTTACATCTTTTATCAGTGAAGCAAAAAAAACAACTACCTGATAACCTCGTCGACCACCTGGAGGGCCCAACTGAAATGTGAAATTTAAACGATCATCTGTTCCCAGCAGCGAAATTAATGGCCAACCGTCAATTTTAGAAAGCTCTATATCATCGAACTGAAAAATGATGAGTACAGTAACTTGAAGAGCTGCTCTGAAAATTACTAAGGTACTTTAGGATATTGGTAACAGAAACACAAATAATGTTATTAGAAACACTTCAATTTTGTGGGAAGAATGGATAGAGGATTTGTAATTCAATGCTCGAGTCCTATACGCATTTCTAGATACGTGCGAATTTATTTCTCCATCTTTTTTTGATTTTTTAAATTAAAAAAAAAAAACTACCAAGAAATTCCATGGTTTATTGATAAGTAATTTCAGTACAAGAAGTTATGTAAACATGATTTCTATTAAAAATCATTACGGAAAATCGTTTCTGTGGTGGTACATAGGGAGGTATTCGCTGTGATATATTCATAATAGACACATGTCCGAAATCAACACGAAATTTATAGCAGTAAACAGACAACCAATCGATATGATTAATGTCATATTCCGCAGGTAAATCTATGATTATGTCTCGTCCACCGCGATATCGCTCGTTCATTGCGGTTATCCTGAAAATGTGAACAACTAATTAGTCGTGAACCTTACTGGAATCTGAAAATGTCATTATATCCATATTTTTTTGATGAATGACGGATCATAAAAGAGAGAAATAATTTAATTTACCTCAAATACCAAAACTCTAAATACTGCAACTAAAATAGCATTATTGACGTGAAACGATAAACAAAATTTATTTTATCAGTAAAATTATCATACATATACTTACATTCCCACAGTATCTCTTCCACGTATCAATACTTTGACCCCAGAATCATGTGCAACATTTGGTCCTCGACCAACAAAAAAGTAGCCATCTAGAAGCGAATTAACGTTTAGATTAAGATCACTTAAACTGGTAAAATTTGACTGAAAGTCTGACCTGGTGCTTTATCACCATCAAATGTGAATCCGAAAATCTTAATTGTCCTTCTGTCAATTATCAAAATAGGCCCTGAACCAACACTATATCGGCTCCCACGCAATTCGGTAGCTAGAAATTGTGGTTTCGGAATGATCACAGTGTCGGGAATTGGAATTGTACCGAAGTTATGCTAAAATTTATGGAAGGTCTTCCAGAGCAAAAATAATCACTATCGCAAGTTTTATATTCCATTTTTTGCAGTTCTCCTTAAAAGTGATTTTCTTTCGCAAAATATACCAGTTACCCTCATCTTATTTTCTGAATTTCTGGACTGAAAAATTTCCCTGAAACTAATTTGCTTATAAACCAATTACCTCGAATTTAAAACAAAATAGAGAGAAACTTTTGAATGAGCTAATTTTGTGAAGTCCGGGTAAAACCAACACAACTCGTTCTGCATTCTTGTAGGAGCCAATTGGAGCAATTCTATAACAAAGTAATTTCCACTCCGAATAAAAAAGGTGATTTGTTCAAATTTTCTAGTTTTTAAATGCAAATAAAATCATTTTGCTGGATTCATATTTTGACAAATTTAGATTATAAAAATAAACATGCCCAAATTCAAATGTTGGGATCTTAAGACCGTCAATAGATGGTGCGTTATTTCGATCCAGCCAAAAGTATAAGTCTGAAATTATTAACAACCAGGATTATATGGAACCCATAATTAGTATATCTTTGTTTTAAAATCCTTAATAATTTTAATTGTAAAATCCCCAATAAATATTCTTCCTCGAAAAGCAGATACAGAAATGAATGAATAAATGGAAGTGGAAATGAATGGATGCATTTTTTTATATATTATAGATGCCGAAAGACTAGCAGTTAATATTAAAGCCGCTGATCACTAAGATTTAGCAAGTGCAACTCAGAATCTATTAGAAAACCGCTCCGTTATTTTTGATGCTACTAAATCCTTTAGGTAGAGTTTTGATGACAATTTCTCAAAATATTTAAACTGATTATTGATTGCATTACAAAAAAAAAACACATGCTTGTCACAAAGAAAATTGCAAATTTAATTATCCCCATCAGACGAAACTAATTCACAACTTCTATCATCTCATCTGTTTCAAGTCTTAGTAGTAACTGCGATTGTGAAAATGTCATCTGAGTGAGAATAATTTAGACAAGGAAGTGAGAAATCAAAAAAGAGGATAACAGAAGGTAAAAAATTAGGCATTAAGGTAAAATCATGAATATAAATAGATTAGAGGTGTTTAATGCTCTTAACCGATAAAATCCTACAAGCTTTTCGATCTCTCACTTGCCGCCTCACTTCATCCAAGCCAAACTTGAAGAAGCGAAGGAGGAAAAAGGGATTTTTATGAAGATATATTGTATCTTATTAATCGTGTTTACTATATTGTGTGATAAAGAATGGAAATAGATTAAAGATAATAGGTCATTTCTCACTTTCTTTTTTTGGTTGAGCATATCGACAGTAAATATTTGATCGAGAATAATAACTAAATAATAAATGCAAAAACGACATTATTCTTTACATAAAAACTAAGGGATTAAATGCAATATATATATGATTTATGCAAAATTGATCGCTTTGTAAATCTAAGAGAACTCAAATCCCAAAATAAAACTCAAAACTTTTTAGCTCCTTAGGATGGTAAGAAACAGTTTATTTTAAATTCGAATATTGAATAAATTCTAAAAGGGCGCTTTTTGAAGAGGTTGTGATCAATTGGTGACAGAGTTCTAAAATGATAGCAAATTTAAAGTGTACATTAAAATTCAGCTTACCTGGTGCTTTTCCATTATAAGTAAAGTTTATGATTTGCAAAGTTGTTTCATTTACGATATAAACTCGTCCTTCAATATCTGCATCTGATGGATCAGGTAATTCACCAATATATACTCCATATTCAGGATCGTAGGAATTTATTGTTAAGTTGGAATCAGCACTCGCACCTGAAATGAACTCGTTTTTGCAAGTATCCTCAACTGATGATATTTCTAAAGTTAATTTTTTCATTTTTTATTAAATAAAAAAGCAGTTAGGGGTATCTTATAACTTTTAAAAGAATTACAAAATGCTTGAAATACCTGATAAAATTGTTAGGAACCAAGCAAATAAATAAGAGCGACAACTTGGTATCATGTTTAATTCTGAAATGAAAGTAAAATAATAAATAAAATTAGCTGGAGACAAATTGTTTTTCCCTCTTTTAGAGATGGAAGACGGAGGGAAAAAGGAGGACGAGAAATACGATCTGCATGTATTGACGATGAAGTGAATGACTGGATGACATTTGCTGTGATATGAAAGAAAACATGGAAAGAACATGAGGGAAGGTCAAACGCACACTGGAAGACAGTAATTGTGTAAGAAGGTCTTCCATGAACTTATTTTTAGCAGTAAAATTTATTCTGACATTTATTTTATAGAGAGAAAAAATTTTTGAAGACATCATCAAACCAGCAACTTTAATTTCTTTTTTTTCAGTTTAACGTGAAATTATTAATTTCATCATACATTAGCTAGTTGAATTATTATTCATCCTCATTATTAAGCAAAAACATTAATAGTCATTATTTATCATAGAACTATTACTAGAATTAGGAAAATTTTGTTTTAAAAGAAAAAAATATATATATAGGACAGCATAAATCATGAAGTTATTAAGTGGTCACATCAACCAGGTAGAAGTACGTTTCTTTTCCATAAGTTTTTTTTTTCTGTGTGCGAACGATCTGTGATCCCGATCTCTGAACAATAAGTATGCTTTAATATAAGAATTAGTAAGAATTGCACAATTAGTGAACCGAAAAAAAAAAGAGATTAAAGTGAGTTTATTTGAAAGCGACAAAAAATTTTCAAATTATTTTAAAAAAAGGAAGAAAAATCACAGTATAAAATTTCTATTTCATCAAACATTTTAGCGCTGAAATATTTTTCAAAATTTTCCTTTTATATAAAGTAAATTAATTTTTCAAATACCCACTTTTCTATATGCATTACGCCCCATATGGCATGCCAAATAAAATAACTGAAAAGGTAAAATCTGAATAATGGATAAAATTGATACATCTATTGTTCTTAATTCAAACAGCGTTCATTCCTTCATCTGTTTCCATGAGACATATTCTTTGATAAACAATAGGGTTATTGAACCGTATCAGTCTCATATCAGTTCAATAGTTTTACTATCCATATCTTGAAGTGCGACAAATAACAACTGTTGTTACCATATCTAATTCCTGCTGTCACTACTGCTTCCGAGTCAAAGGTTACTTTTCATAATAACTAGTTTAATCTCATTAAGGATTCCTCGAAGAAAAACTATGCACTGCAAAAGTACTGAAATTCATTTTCAGGAGTCTTGCGAAAAGAAATAATTTCGCTAGATTTGTATCCCAATTGTATCGTATTCAGCAGTAAGCGTCGAAGGTTTGAATTTGAAAGTGAAAATCTTAGCTGCTGATAAGGTGAAAATTTTAGATACTAATGCAGATAATACTTATGTAACAGAAAATTGTAATTTAATGCTTTTGGAGTGTTGGTATATAAAAAATATTGATGAAACAGAGAAAAGATAATATTCAGAAAATTTTAATTGTTGTAATCTTTTTAAAACTACAACCATTTTTTCCTTTTTAGAAAGACAAAACAATGCAACTGATTATTTAGTTAAAAGAAGAAAATATGATTGCATGATCATCTAAAAACAAATAAAAGTTAATTGCTACAAATTGGATTTGTCTCATATAAGTTGAGAGAAATTAATTCAAGCAATTAATAAAATTACATTCCAGCTGAAAGGGTTCGTTGCGACATTAAGAAATTCTGAAGATGGTCGAAATTTAATAATGTTTGCAATCTTAGGAACTTTTGCCACCAGCACTTTCTTGATTTTGAATTTTTTAAAAATTTCGTAGTTTTTTAAAAATGTACTCTTTTTGAAAGAAAAATTAAAACCAAAATCACATTAAAAAAAAAGTCTGCCTTGATAAAAACAATACATTACATGAAGTTGACCTTGATAGCCATAGAAAGCATGACAAACGACAACAATACATAATCCTAATATATCCGAATTGTCATTCCTAACCTTATCTAGTCCTCACTATTAAAATTGTCTTACATTTTGTTTATTCTGCATTATGTCCTCTGGACATTCCGCAAATAAATTTTTGGATTTTTACACTGCTCTCTTACTAAGAATTAAAGAGAAAATAAACTTTTACGCATTTGTTAATGTCCTGACTAATTAACATTATGATCAGATCGATATTGAATCGATCATTATTATAAAAACGATGAACTGACATAGATTAACTATGATATTGTTTGTGCATTCATTCTTGCATTGCGAAACGATAAAACAACACTCATTTATTCCTTCTCTTATTTCTCTTTCCATCTATGATTTTCTTTGGAAAGACTAATTCATCTTAAACTTCTCGCAATTAACCTAAATTAATATGTAATTTTTAACATAATTCGCTTTTTCAATCAGCAAAATAAATTTTCAGTTGAGCTAAGCAAAAAATGCATGGGTGAAAGGAATATCTATTTACGCAACATATTAATTAGATAAGCATGATTTGTCACAATACGTCCATGAAATGATAAATTGCTTTATGTCATTACATCGAAATAATTTCACCATTCAACATTAAGCCCTAAACCTCGATTTTGTTGAAACTTCATTTTTAATCTATGACATAAAAATTAGATCTAAAAGAAAAAAAAAAATTGGCTATTTATGACAATTATAACAAAACTGTTTAAAAGTTCGTTTCAATTGAATTCAGCAAATCAAAAATTAATTGATTAAATATTTTAAAATTTGCAGCATCACACCAACTAATGCAAATATTTTGATTAAATTGAAAAGCTTCCATAACAATCATTAAATGTGTAACGTGAGAATCGGTTTTAGACAAGTTGAACCGGAAGTATATAACTAAGTAAACGTTATATAAATAAAAAGCATACAACACACAAATAGATTATCGGAAACGGAACTACCTTAAAAATGCTGCAAGAACTTGGACGTTTCTAAAAAAATTTCCTCAAAGAAGCAAAAGTTTATCGATCGATCTTCCGCTTCTATGTAATAATATATGAAATATTTAAGGGTATTGCAATGGATATTCTAATCATAAATTAAGAGTCAAAAGTGATAACACCATTCTTATCTAGATTAATTTCCATTTAACCCTGAAATCAGAAACGTAAGAATTTATAAAAGTTGCGATTCTTCATTTTTCTTTTTTTTGCTAAAGCAAAAAAAAAATTAGTTCTCAAAATCCAATTGACCAAACTTGGGATATATTACATATTAGAATATAGTGTTCAGATTTTAATTATCACAATACTAAGTAAAGTTGATAAAATATATTCCGTATAACCAAAAACTATTTCTCATGATTAAATCCGGCAAATCACAATTAAATTTTCAGTAAGATTTGCATACATCCCCGCAAAGCAGTGATATCCTATATACTTTTGAAAATTTATTTGGAGTGATTTCCAGTAATCGATTATCAAAATAATTAAAAATAAGCACAAATGACCTTGTCCGAATTTCTTCTTTAAGTTGTAGAGTTTTTCTATTCCCAACCTTCAGTTGATAAGTTAAATTGTGCAAACTTTTGTAAGTTGTTTTCCGGATAATCCAGTTCTTCTTTGATAGTAATAAGAGGTAAAAGCCTTTAACTCGGAACTAATTCTTTTTCTAGTGAAAATAAATCCAGTGAAAATGTTAAGAAGGATAGAACAGAAAATCGAAATATCTCGTTTGCATTATTTCTAACATCATTAACAAAACAACCAGATTATTTTGACCTAGAAAATTGTTCTCAGTCACAAAATGCAAGCAATTCACACATGCTCAGAAAACTAAGATTATCCGGTTCTTCAGTCCTTCACCATCAACTTACTGTTTCACCTTATCCTTGTTCTACAAAAATATTTTTCTGAGAAAATATAGCAAAAAATGAAAAACCTGAACAAGGTGCTCAAAATGAGTTTCCATATGTGGCAGTGAAAGATGTGTATGCAATCATAAGGGCAGAAGCATTGAAATTCAATCAATTAATAGAGAATTTATGTGGTTCAAATACTGCACTTGTATGGGTTCCTTCAACACAAATTTCTTCATTTAATGTTAATTTCATTTTTAGCGCTCATATTATTAGTATTTACTAGCTTCATTCTCTCTAAATGATGAAATTTAAAAAAAGAAAAGAAAAAGATTAGACATAAAATGAGAATGGGCGACCGTTAACGAAAGTGGTTTGTATGAAGTGGTGGTTGTAAAGAAATCGGTGACAGCTCTGAGTGATAATATTAACAGCAAGTATCAACAGTAACTTCTTATTAGCAGTGCATTTTTAACGGAATGTTTCTCAATGACACCCAACCAGAAGTAATAACGATGGTGATCGCAGTTTATGCATGACTGCCAATCTTACGTATGCTGTTTGAGGAATGTTTGGCAACGAACAACAATTAGATAAGAAACAACAGATATATACAGACAGACATACTGACATACACAAGCAATATCGTTTGATGACAGTTGTCTTCTGAAGCAAGGTCACTTTCAAAATTTTGAAGCCCGAGCAATTCGTATCCAAATCTGTTGTTTCTTATCAATTGTTGCAGAAGAATCTAAAAGTTTAAGGAGAGGATGAGAAGAGCGGGAATGAGAGAGGAAAGACAGTGAAAGTATTTTACATGAAACGATAATTAACAGAATTCATACATATTGCAACATTGGGAGAGGAAAAGGGAAAAGGTACGGACTTTACCCTTTTGAACTTTTAAATTGAAGTGAAATAAGGGCGATTCATGTTTTAAGGGTTGGTGTGGCACCGAAAGAGTAATGTTAGTTATAAGCAGAGTCTGATCTATTATCAGTAGCAGTAGGAACAGAAATAATCAGCAATAATTTGCATAATGGATGGTTAAATAGGCTGATACAGGTGAAACAACGGAAAAAGCATATAAAGTGTGGACTGCAATAGGAATAGTGTAACCTTCCTGGAATAAAAATAGATCAGATGAAGGTAGAGATAAGTTTGAAGGAAGAAGGGACAGGTTTTAGAGAAAACAATATTGAGAAATGTTGAGGGACGCAAAGTGACGCC